AGTTTAAAATGTCCACCCCCCCCTCTTTCTGAGGGGGGGTGGACATTTTCTGTTTGAGTACTCAACGAGGAACGATGATGACCAAAAACGTAATAGGAACGAGAGATTTCCCCTGCCAATGAACCAAATACATGATTAGCTGACTCATTTTATGAACGGTTTAATTAGAACTCTACATGTGTTATGCTTCCGCTAAGTCATGGACATTCCGTTCAGTTTTTCTTTACCTTGGGGGAGGGTGTTTTAATTACTTTTTGAGGCTTTTTTGACGAAAGAAAGGGACGTTGCGGTCTAAGTTATTTAAGGTCCAAATTCTTGATAAGAATCGTGGTCGGAAATTAGGTTTTGGTATAAATGCCGGTTTTCACGCAAGCTAATTACATGATAGCGATTGACGCGGACGATACATGTGGCACATATGTTATAGATGAAGACAACGGAGTGATTTTGACTCAGTGTAATGAATTCTACTATAGTCGTAGTGAAAATAAAGCCTGAAAAAAGTTCTCTCTCCGGTGCACTAAACTGGTTTTTGTCTCTGCACTGTGCACTTCACGGTCAAACAATTTTTAACCTCCTGGCGTGGGAAGTAACTTTTTCCTTTTTCACTGAAGCAACCATAACTGGTAAAAGTTTTTCTCGAGATAGGAGACCGTATGGTCAGAAAAAAGTACTTGAAATCGCGTTCTTCCGTTCTTTCTTTCTTCATTTAAACGACACTTGATGACCATGTAAATATGCAATGACGAAGTCAGTTGTAAGCATTTTAATTGGCTTGCTTCCTTCAAAAAAAGGCTATAAACTACAGGATTCTTATGAAAGCGGTGTTCGCATCCAACTGTTTTTGTGATTATGAAATTCTAGCCTCGCGTTATGTTAAAGCCAATCGTTCAAAGATACATGTTCTGAATATTTTTTGTTCTATTATCTCTGTATTGTTCATTGTTCATTAGGCTCAGTAGGCTCGGTTTAGGCCCAGTACACTCGGTTTTCTGGCATAGGGTAAAATATGGACTGGACTGGACTATTTTTTGGACGAGTTTTTGGACGATTTTTTGGACCATTTTATAAGAGGAGAGGCACACCTTTAGTACTCAGGGAGGGGTGGGTGCAGTCGACAAGTACTGAGGGAGAGGTGGGGGAAGAGTGTTATTACTCAGGGAGGGGTGATAGGTGGTTGTAATTGTGAACACTACCGGTTAATGGAGCTTTTACTCGATCGTAATAATTATTTTAATCGGTTTTTCGACTGACTTCTCCTACATCAACATTTTACGCTGGGCCGCTGCGTTTCTTTAATTTTTTAGCCATGCGAAAGCGAAACTGCCATGTAAACACTGGAATTTAATTCATATTGAAAATATCGCGTTTACGATCCTCCACGGTTGAGTTACCAGTCTGGCATAGGTTATGCGTGTGCCTTTTGAGTCGACTTGTGCACCATCAGTTTTCCTTTGTGTAATTACCAGATTTAACTATCTTTCTTTTGTCATTGACGTTATCAGA